CCGAGCTGCAGGACGCCCTGGACTACTGCGCCGAGCGACAGCGGCAGCTGGAGCGGAGCATGCGCGTCTCCCGGCGGCTGCTGCAGGCCTGGTACGCGAACTCAGGAATCACCCGGCCAGGCCTCTCTCGGGCCTTCAGAACCCCTGTCACAGTTCCCAGGCTTGGAGGCCAGGCCCAGCGCCCACTTCCGAGTTGCCGGTTTTCGGTGCTTCCCTTTTCCCTGCAGGCTGTTAGGCGGGGGATTTGCTACGAGGCCAGGCGGCCCCGTGAAGGTCTGTTGGGTCCGGGCCCTGCCTCCTGGCTGTACTAAAGCTGCCCTGTGTCTTCGCAGGGAACCAGATGAAACTCCAGTTCCAGAGCCAACCCCAGGGCCAGAAACCAATGAAGAGGCCCCCTCTCCAGGTAAACCTCAGCCACCTACCTACAGGTGCTGCCCCTGGCATGTCTTCTGGCATGCAGCAGTGAGGAACCCCTCCTGGGGGACAGCGGTGAAAGACCACTACATGTCTCTACTTTCGCAGTTTGCACACCCAGCCCCCAAGACCTCAGGGAGCTGGAGCTTCTGACCAAGGCACTGGAGAAAGCTGTACGAGTGCGAAAAGGCATCTCAAAGGCTGGAGAAAGAGACAAGGCTGGGTCCGTTGCCACTTCTGCTAACACAGCCTCTGCCCCATCCCGGGCCTCAGAAACAAAACCCTCCAGGGGCATCTGCCAGACCACGGTGCCTGCCAAGGGCCCCCCTGAGCGCAGACCCCCGTCAGTGGAGGATCGGACCTGTATGGGGAGAGGAGCCCGAGCTGCCAAGCCTGGACCAGGCCTCAGGGACCAACAAATGGCTCCATTGGCAGTGCCTCGGGCCCCAGAAGCTTTCACACTCAAGGAGAAGGGGTAGGTTTCTCTAAAGCTCACTGGAGGAACCACTGTCTACCTGATCAGACCCTGGCCAGCAGCTGGATTCTGGGATTTGTGGTGACAGGGAAGGCAGAGCGTTGAGCCGAATATGGGTTCTGGGGTGCCACTCCATGAGACCCATGCCCTGAATCTGACAGAATGGAATAGCTGCCTGTGAAGGTGCCAGGTTTAAAGAGCTAGAACCTGTCCTACTCTCCTCTCCGGCTGTCCAGTGCCCTATTCTCTTATCCACCGAGCCTGGGGGCTCCAAATGGTCTTTACTCATAGTACCCTCTCTTCTCTCTGCCAGGGCATACCTGGACTGGGCTGGCTCCTATGGTCACTTTGGAAGCTCTCTCTGGAGGGTGGAGGGGGGAGCCTCACTCCTGATTGGCCTCTGAGCAGGGAGCGGGGTCTGTAGCCCCAGAATGAGGCGATGCTGCTCTGAGCACCGGCTTCCCTGACAGGACCCTGCTGCGGCTGCCCATGGCATTCCGGAAGGCGGCTTCCCAGAATTCCCGGTGAGTCTGAGCCTTTTGGCTGGGTGGGGACAGAGGGGAGTCGAGGGGAGTGTGGAGAACAGGGAGGCCAAGGCTTCGCACCAGCTCGGCCCCATGTTGGTAAGACTTTTCCAGCAGTTTCCTCTGCTTTCTATGCTGGATGGAGAAACTCTACATTAAGAGAGTCTGCTCAGCTAAGACTGCAATAGTCACCTTAGACCCAGTGGGCTTTGAGGCCCCCAGCTCAGCTTACAACCTGTAAGACTTTGGGCAAAGCACTTGGTGTCTTTGAATCCCAATGTCTTCCATGTGGAGGTAATAGTACTAGCTTAGTAGAGGTATTTGCACTGTGCCTGGTACAGAGCCAGCACCCAAAGCTCTTACCAGCCATCACAGTTACCAGTCACTGCCTGGTCCTCTCCCTTTCTTCCTCAAATTCTTTCCTAGTGTTCCCCAGAGTGGGTCAGCTCTCTGGATAGCGTCCTCTCAGTTCCCCAAGGTCTCCCAAGGCCCCTCCTGGCACTCAGCAGAGCCACACACCCCAGGCTGGGGCCCTTGCCTATTTCCCAAGGTCCAGCCCAGCTGGCTGGAATAATGATCCCTCTCTGGTTCCTGGGGTGCCCATGTGTGTATCCTAGCCTGTGGGCCCAGCTCAGCGCTGTACAGACCAGTGACTCCATCGATGCCGCTACGGCCTCCAAAACCCAATTCCTCCAGAAAATGCAGACAACCGTATCCTTGCTGAGCTTGCTGTAGTGGGGAATGGTGGTACCTGGCTCTGAACCTGGTGAGTTAGAGAAGCAACTCCAGGAAGGCCCAAACGCCATCCTTGGGGGAGAGAAGGGGCCTGATCACAGTGGAGTTTCCTTGACCCATGTCCAGTCAGGCTGCCCCAGCTCCAGGCTCAGTGCTGTAGAGGTGGAGGCAGAGGTGGGGAGACTGTGGAAGGGCTGCTCACTGCTGAGACAGCGAATGGAGGCAGAGCTCGCAGCAGGTCAGTGGGCCCTGATACAGGTTTCAGGTTGGGGTGGGAAGGACTGCAGGATGGCATGGACCCAGCCTGCCCTCCCTCACTCTTTTGTAGACATCACGGACTGCATGCAGGAGTACCGCTGCCTGCTCACCCTCGAGGGGCTGCAGGCCATTGTGGGGCAGTGTCTCCAGAGGCTGCAGGAGCTTCGAGCAGGTGAGACCCCCACCCCCCACCCCCACCTGTGCTGAATTCTGGTGGGGAGTCAAGGTCCTCTAACCACAGGGTAGCGTTGGGATTTGAACAGCAGCCCAGGAGCAGAGACAGGCAGGCCCTTCCCTACATCATCCCATTGCATTCTGAGTTCCCAGTTGTCCTGTGGGACAAGTCGGGACAGCTCCCCCACCCCATTCCCTCTCCAGACATACAGAGCCCTACCACTCTTAAGTAGTTTGCGTAGTTATCCATTCATTGAAAAGGTGGCCTGTGAGGGGCGGCTGGTTAGCTCAGGTGGTTAGAGCTTAAGCTCATAACAGCGGGGTTGCCGGTTCAATTCCCACATGGGCCAAGGACCTGCGCCCTCCATAACTAGATTGAAGACAACTACTTGACTTGGAGCTGATGGGTCCTGGAAAAACACACTGTTCCCCAATAAAATTTCATTAAAAAAAAAAGAAAGAAAAGGTGGCCTGTGAGAATCAGAGCGGTATTGGCAGATGACTCACCTGTCCTTGCAAGAGATGGTTGTTTGTGGGCAATAGGGCTTCATCCAGGAGGCAAAGGGAGACTTTGTACCACCTTAGAGGAAAGCGGGGAGGAGGTGCCGGGCTGCCACTCCATGAGGCCATATCCCCCTGTCCTCTCAGTGGTGGTGGAACAGCAGCTGGAGCTGTGGCCTGAGAGGAGACTCCCCAGAACCTCATTGGCCTGTGGAGGAGGAGCAGACCCCATCTGGAGCCCCCAGCTGCTTCTCTACTCCAGCACCCAGGAGCTGCAGACCCTGGCAGCCCTCAGGCTTCGAGTGGGCATGCTGAACCAGCAGATCCACCTGGAAAAGGTATTTCCAAAGTAGGGGGTGGGGAGTAGATGACTGAGTGCCAGGGGAGTGTGGGCTGTGGGAAGACTCAAGGTCTGGAACCTCATGAAGGCTCAAGAGCCTGTCTGCGCTCCTCCCCAGAGGACCCTCCAGGATGATGGGAGCCTCTAGGCTTGGGCAGTTGCCAGCACTGGCCAGGCCCAGAGGCAGCAGGAGAGAGCTGGGAGCTTTTGGAGGAGGAACAGGCTGGAGCATGGTGCCTCCAAGCCTGCCTTAGAATTGCCACACTCCCTGGTTCCACCAGTGGAGGCCCTGGGATAACTGCCCCGTTCAACCTTGGCCTTGTACATCCCTCCAGGTCCTGATGGCTGAACTCCTCCCCCTGGTGAGCACACAGGAACCACTGGGGTTGTGCCGGGCTGTACACAGCCTGCTCTGCGAGGGAGGGGAGCGCTTTCTCACCATCCTGCGAGATGAACCTGCTGACTGAGTCCTTCCTGCAGCCAGCCCCACTCCCAGACCTCAGGACCCTGGAGAGGGCAAGCTGGTTCCGATCCCAAGACTGTTGGGGAGAGCACCCCTTCTCTGGTCGAAGTTAAGTGAACAGGGATTGAGGGGATTTTCACAGGTTTGGTGGGCCTGGGCCAAGATGCCTGTACTACCCTGGGAAACCCGGTTTCCTGGGTGGGGCAGGGACAGCCTCCTGGCTTTCCTGAGGGACTCGGGTCCTTCTCACATGCGTTAAACCTCGTCAGGGCTTGGCTCGGCCTTCCACAGCTTGAGGAGACCAGGGGCCTGTGAGGGGCCTTTCTTAGCTACTTGTATTTTCTCCCACTTCAGACTTAAAAGCCACTGTGTGACATTAAAACTACTTTAGAAAGTATATGTATTTAAATCATACCAAGGTGGGATTTGGTGGTGTTTGTTTTGTTTTGGATTTTTGCCTACCAAGAGTATATCATGTATTTACCAAGAACACACATATCCCGTCTGTACTGTAGGAAGGGGTCAAGGCCACTCAAGGTGGGCTGCACGGGGGACTCACCTTCAGCATTGGCTCAACTTAGCCCTCACCCCCACCCCCATCTAGGTGCCTAGATCTTTACTAGGCTCATTGAAAGACACAAAAGCCTCAGGCCTCAATCAGAGTATGCTGGCACTGTGTCCCCACCTCTTCCTTGGCCGTTGGTGTTGCTGGTTTGGGCCCCCCCAGCAGAGAACAGGCCCTTTATCCATCACCCCTCACCTACGTCCCTATCACTTCTTCTGAGGCTCCTACCTGCGCTGTTGAAGGAATCATTGCTTTAGAAGACAGGAAGGTGTAGATGTTAAGGTCATGGCTTCTGGGTTTACAACAGTCACAGATTTGGGTTTATACTGACTTGTCTGCTGCTATGGGACTTCAGCAAAATTCTAAGGACTCTGAGCCTCACTTCCCAGTGTTGACCCCACTGTCATTACTGGTGGTAGTTAGTGGTTCTTAGCCTTGGGGCTAGGGTAAAGGTGAATAAGATGATGAGAGATGCTTCACAGCGCTGGGCCCTGGTGAGGCCTAGGAGGCTGTGGCACTCTTTTTTTTTTCCCCCCCCACCCCCACCTCCGAGCCGTTCATTGTTCTCAGTCTAGTTGTGGAAGATGCTGCTTCACTGGCCCATGTTGGTATTATGATTATTGTGCTCTTCCCGGCTGAGGCAGTCAGTCACCAGCCATTGGAAAGCCACTCACAGAGGTTTATGGCAGCTCTCGCCAGCTGCCAGTCACTCATGCTGGCTGCCGGCCACTCACACTGACTGCTGGCCACTCACACTTGCTACTGACCTTGGCTCACAGTAGCTCACTGCAGCTCACGCCATCTGCCGGCCACTCACGGCAACCCAGCTCCAGGTTGAGCCGTTGTTCACAATCTTAGCTGTAGAGGGCACAGCTTACTGGCCCATGTGGGAATCGAACACCAGCCGTGCTGTTCAGAGCTCGTGCTCTTACCAACTGAGCTAACTGGCTGCCCCTGGCATTCTTTAAATGAACTTTTACTGAACATCTACAAGGACCGAGCACAATGCTCAGAGCTGGCGCACTGACCCTTAGTGTAGACAGTGACTACAAGACGGAATAACACAAGCCTCTGCCCTGAGGGACCTAGGCCCAGGAGGCAGGTAACTCCTGGAGGCCAGGTCTTCTGAGAGCCAGAGGAAGTGTCTCAGGTATGAGGGATGAACTAGGTGATATTGAAACAGCATCAGGGTGACTCCAGGTTCCCTACAGGAGGCCCTACCTGTAAAGGGCCCCACAGTCCAGCAGGCTAGAAACCTTGGACATGGAATCCTGGGTCTTGAGGACTGCTGGGGACCAGATGGCAAAATAGAAAAGGAAAAACCAGGGACCTCATCACAGTGAGGGGCCTTCAGGGAGTGCAACAGCTTTGTCCACTGCCTAGGACAGGAATTGCAGAGGGGACAGATACCCTCCCACACACACACCCCAGCGCCTGGCTGCTGCATTGCTGCTGCCTCCAGAGCTTCTTTCTGCCCAGGTGCTCTCAGATATTGAGGAACCCCTAATACTCAGGGTGAATCTCACCACCACTCTGTTACCGGCCACCCCAAATTTCCATAGCAGGTGGCCACCAGAATTATTTCATCCACTGATTCACTTGGTTTATTGTGCACCTTCCCTACTGCACCTTTGCCTCACAAGGGCAAGGGTGCTGTCCAGTTGGATCCCTAGTCAGGCCCAGATGGGTGCCAAAAGACCCACCTATTCCAGGCCAGTCCTAGGCACTGGTGGTGTCCCACGAGTCGCTGGGGGTCTGGGCCTTCTTGGGCAGGGATAGCATGAGCCGGGTGGTCTGGGTAGACCCCAACACAAGGCGCTCAGAGCAGGAGAGGGAGATCCCTTCCACATTAGCGCCTGCCCACCCCATTCTACAGCCAACTCCTCCCTTCCACAGCACCCCCAGCCAATCTGCTCTGACGACACAGGAGAGTGAGTGAGAGAGAGAGAGAGAGAGAGAGAGTGAGTGTGTGTGTGTGTGTGTGTGTGTGTGTTCTGCACCGGCGCCCACATCAACCCAAGTCCCCGCCCGCGAAGCCCTGAGCCATATGCGCGATGCTCTTGGCTCTGGCGGCGTGAGGGGCTGGTAGTCGTGCTGCGTCATGCCCCTCAGCACTGTGGCCTTGGCGGGCGCCACCGCCCCAGCCATCAACTTTTCGCTGCGCAGACCACGCCTGGACCTGTTCCGGAGCGCATCGCTGGCCGCGTTCGACGCGGGCCTCGGGCTCCTTGCCGCCACGTTCCTGTGCTGGCCCGCTCGGTAGCGGTAGCGACGGTGGCGATGGGCCGGGCGTGGGGGGGGTGGGCGCCAGGGCCCTTTCCCCAACGATGTCGCAGCAAATCGGGCTCCTCCTTCCTCTGGACCTCGCCCGGCCGGCCGGCGGGCTCAGTGCGCACACGTCGCGGAAGCCCCCCTCCCCAAACCGTTCCTTTCCGAACCCTTGGGAGGCCCCGGGCGGAGGAGGGGTCTACGAGACTATTTCTCTCCCCTCCTCCGATAGGCTCTCCCCTTCTCGCACCCCTCTTCCGCCCAATGTTGCTTTTCAGCGTTTCGCTTGGCTCACAGAGCTGGTCAAGACCGCAGAGCGGGCCTGGCTGAGCTCGGGGCGGGCAGGAGTCTGCATGGCATGGGGGCCTTCTGGGTGTGCATGGCGGCGGCGAGCCGTGGACTTCGCGTGGGCACCCTTCTCGGAGCGAGGAGCAGCGTGCTGTGCCCCTGTCCCCCAGCCGTCTGTTTTCCCCATTGGATTGGAAGCTCCTCGAAGCATAATAGGCGCTCAATAAATAAATGTTTGTGCGATAGGTGAACGAGTGGTGGCTTGAAAGTGTCTTGCGGGGACAGTAGGTCCTGGATTACGCCGGGAGTGTTTGATCAGTCAGCCTTTTAAGGGAAAGACCCCAGCCTCCTGAAACCTCCAACTGTTAGACCCCCTGAGTCCCTTCCCCAGATAGGGACTCCGCAGGCTTCCAAGCCAGCAGCTATACACCAGAGTGGGGGGTAGGGGTGGGAAACCGTGCAGGGGCCTGAGTAGTTATAGATGGGGGCAGGGAGGTGGAGCCTCTTCTAAGGTACCAGGAGGGGGCAGGGCCATCCAAGAGGTGGGAGGTGTGAGAGGCCCCAGTCAGGGGCTGGGGACAGGTGGCCAAGCCCACTTAGGGCAATGAGCCTGGGCTGGGGGCTATGTGGAAGGCCCCCCCTAACTCCCATCACACCATCTGCCAGGGCTGCCCTGCGGGCCAGAAGAGAATGTGTATAGAAGGCCACTCCAGGGAAGAGGCCAGGCAGCCTGCCTGCAGCCTCCTCCCTGGGGAGCTGGTGGTACAACCCACAGGCCCAAGGCTGACCCCCATGAACACCCGGCAGCAGGCTGAGCCCCAGGGGCCTCCTTCCACCCACACCAGAAGCCACCAGATGTTCTGCAGACCCTAGCCCCAACTTACAAAGAGGCTGGGCTGCAGACAAAGCCTCCAGGCCGACAGGGGAGAGAGGCTGCTCCCCATGCTCCCTGCTTCCTCCCTACTGGCAAAAGTCCTGAAGTCCTGACAGCCAGGGTTTCTTTGGAGGCTTGTCTCAGGCCCTGTGGAACCCCTGTGTTGGGCCTAGGCATTTTTCCACACTGTGTCCAGCTGGTCACCTCCTTGCTTCTAATGGTTCCAGAAGGATCTATCACAGCATCCACTCTCCCATCAGGATTCTTCCCATCCCAGGTAGTGTTTGATAGGCTGTAATCAGAAAGGCCTTAAAGAGGGTGGTTGGGAAGGTGCTGTTTCTGAACTTGACCCATCCCGGAGCAGAGTGTGTGCCCCGCCAGCACCCTCATTCATGCACGGTGCACAGCTGTTTGTTGTAAGGGGCACTTTTTCTTTATTGGGAAGTTGAAGGACCGGCCTGTGGCACCTGCTCTGTGTGTGTGTGTGTGTGTGGTGGGGGGACCCACAGCCTTCCTGCTGCTGCCAGAGGTGAAGGGAGAGGCCAACAGCCCCTGTGGCCCTCCTGACTCAGTCCTCCCAAAGTCTCCCAGCATCTCATCAGTACCCCCCCACCCAACCCACACACACACCTGCATTTGTGCCAATCAGGCCTAGGAAAGGGCTGACCAGAGGATGTGCGTTATTCCAAGTGACCCCTCACCCTGTCTTCCTGCTTCTCCAAGGTCAAGCCCTCCTGCTCCCTCTTCTCCTTCAGTTTCCCCTGGGAGGTTTCAGTGTCCTGCCCCTCCTCTCCTAAACAGCACAAGGATTCTGCTGCTTTTCTCTGCACCTTTCCAACCACCCTCTTCAAGGCCCTTCTGGTCACTATCTTCTTGTGGATCCTTGCAGCATCTCAGACGCAGCAGAGAGTGGCAGCTCCACTTACACAGATATACACACACGTGGCATGGGCCTGGTTTGGAGTAAGCCTTCCTTGCTGAAACTTCAGGCCTCAAAGCTGTCCCAGGTGGGACATGTTCCCGTGTACCCTGCTCCCTTTGCATGAGGTCAACCCTTGCTGGGATGCTTGCCTGCCTCCCATCAAGGGCCTCAAGGTGGTTGGGAAAGGGTCTCTGTCCAGAGTGATTCCTGGCCCCTCTTGGCTGGGGCCACTTTCAGCTGCAGCTGCCCATCTCCAGCAAGTATTCAGGCTACCCAGCTGGGCTTGTGTCTCTGTTTCCCTGCTCAAACCTGCTGGTGTGTGGATCAGGCTGAGGTTCTGACACTGAGCAGTCTGTCACCAGGCCATCCCCATGGATCAACCCCCACTCCCTACCTCTTCACAGGTGACCAAGCCCCTGAAGCCCAATGGTCCCTGCCACCTAGTGTACTGTGCTCCCCAACATACACACTCACAGCTTCCACTTTCTCTGCGCCAG